TACCTGCCCAGGACTGGAATCTTCTGTGTAAAGCAGGAGGTGAGTCATTGGCTCGGAGTGAGGGGTGGGGAGGTGGAGGAGGGCAGCTCTGGGGTCCTGGGGCCATGAAAGGCTTGGAGATTTGAAGAGGGAAGAGCATTTCATTTACAAAATGTCTCTGAGATGTTACAACTAGTTCACGGCTGGTGCTCCGGAGGGCGCCTGGTCAAATCTCCACCTTTCAGATGGGGAAGCTGAGTCTGGGGAGGCGGAGGAACCTACCCCGGTCGCTGCACCGGAAGCTGAGTCCGAGCCCTGCTTCTTCCTTCCCGTGCACGCCGGCTGCCTGTGCAGGCCTGGGCCCAGCCGCTGTCGGCACTCACCTTGTCCCTGCGTTCCATCTCCAAGGAAGTCTCTGAGGGAGACGTCTTCTCACTCTGCTCCCCATAGATCAGCGAGGTCAGGCTGCCGGCCAGGGCAGGCGGCAGGGAGGCGGAAGAGAAGAGAAAGGGCCTCAGACGCCTGCCCGCTCCCTGGGCAGACAGCTGTGTGGGGCAGGCCTCAGCCCCTCTGCCGAGCACACAGCTGGGTACAGACAGCACGGCCATGTTGCTGGGGCACAGGGCACCTCGGGAGGCCAGCCACAGGATCCGGAGAGAAAGAGGCTTTGTGCCCAGAGGTGGCTGCCCTCCAAGTCCCCTGCCTACAGGGAGGGCAGGGGCTGGTGAGGAGACGGCACCTGCTGCCTTTGGCACCGGGCGGGGTGCGTGCTGGTCATGGCACACTTTCCCCCAAGAGAGCGAGCAGCGCCCGTCCCAAGCCCGGGCCTGCTCACCTGTCATTGTGGATCAGCAGAGCGAGGCGCCCGTAGTCCCACGCAGCTTTCCGGAGGAAAGAGTACACCAGAAGCACGAGCTACAGGCCAAGAGAAGTAATGCAGGGCGAGAGAGTTCATGGATGCCTCCTTGGGGCCGGCCTCTGCATTCCTGGGGTACCCAGGGAGCTCCCCACTAGGTGGGTGCTCTGGCAGGGAGGGACCGTCCTTTCAGCTCTGGATTCCCAGCACCCAGCAGCTTCTGGTGCAGAGTGGATGTCAGTCTCAGGGAGGGAGCTGGTGGCATGTTCAGAACCATGGGACAAGAATGCCCCTCAGAGACGGCAAGGGAAAAGGAAAGGGAGGCTCAAGGGCACCGGCCGGATGGACCTTCGGACAATGCTGTACGCACGAGAATCCCAGGAATGCTGCCTGCTCTGCCAGCCCTTTCCCCAGGCCCACCCCGCTCCCTGGGCAGGACTGCCATTCGGGTGGCCTGATCACCGTGGCTAACGTCCACCTGGGCAGTGGAGGTTCCCTCTGTCACGGTGAAGGCTCGGCAGCACCCGGCTGAGTTATCCCTGTCAGGACTCACCAGCCACAAGATGACGTTGATGAGCAGGACGGTGGGGATGCCCCCGAAGGGCTGTCCCTGGAGGACCGTGCTCCGAGACTGGAAGCACTCGTCCACCGACATGTTCCGTATCTCTCCCACCATGCTCAGCTCCTCCGGCGAGGCAGACATCCTGGGAGGCTCCCTGGTGAACAGAGGGGTCTCCGGGTCACACGGACTCCAGGTCCCTTTACAAAACACAGAAGTCTGCGCGGAAGTCGAGGGCCGTGCCTTGGGCCCGGGACGTGTCGGACCCAGGGCTCGTGTCTGGAACATCACTGGTCACGGCTGAGGCTCAGCCCGTGAGATACTGTGTGACCCTGACCCGCTCTTTCTACCCTGTGCTTGCTCACTTCACCCTCAGCCCATCTATTTTTCGATGCAAAGATCAACTGATCCCTTTCTTTAAAAACGTTTTAAAGTTGATTTATTCCGTTTATGAGCAAGTCAGAGAGAGAAAGAGAGAAAACGATGGCACCCCCAATAGGGTCTTGATGCTGAGATCCCCTGGCCTCACCAGCCCTTAATCGAGGACATGGGCATGCTCAGTGCACTCAGGGAGGTCTCCGGATATGAACCAGGAAGGTTCTTGTGTGGGCCAACCTTTTTTACCACCAAGTTTTACCACCGACTACTGTCTGCCTGGTCCCTTTAAAGGGTAAGGCATTCCTTGGCTCAGCCTCTCACCCACGCCCTTCACTGGCCCCTGCATGGTCACACTGGCCTTGCTCAGTATCTGGGCACATTTGAGGCCCAGGGCCTTTGTCTCTGCTGGAAGTGCCCTTTCCCCAGAGCTCTGTGCTTTGCTGCCTCTGTAGTTTTTTTTGGAAGGTTTTTTGCTATAGGGCGCATGCACTCGCCAGACAGACAGAGAGAGACAGAGAGACAGAAAATGAGAAATCACCCCCCAGGGGGGATGGTCACGCCGCAATCCCTTCTTTTCCATTCTCCTCTTGGGATCTTGGGCACGCACACACATGTGCCCAGCATGAGTTTTAAGCCACCGGGTCTGGGACGTGAACCACGGTCGACTACATGGGAGTCCAGCGACACAGCCATTACGCTAACTGCTGGTCCCCTTCCTCAGGAGTTTGAGTCCTGGACCAGCAGTTTGAAAAACATGCCGGACGCATGTGCATGCATGCCCAAAATCCCAAGAAGAGAATGAAGAAGAGACTGCGGTGTGGCCATGCCCCCAGGGAGTGATTTCTCACTTTTCCTCTCTCTCTCTTTTTTTTTCCTCAGGGGGTCAGTTGCCCTGGGGAAAAAAATTTAAAAAAAAAAAAAAAAAAAAAGGAGAACAGATGCTAAGGTTTTAGCTTAAGCCACTGGAAAATTGGAGCTGCTGTTATTGGCTGGAAGACAGGAAGGGCAGGATGGAGATGCAGGGTGGTGGTTGGGCAGCTGGGAGTTCAGCTCTGGACGTGCTAAGTGGGGACATCAAGCAGGCCGCTGGATGTGTCTACAGTTCTGGAGAGAGGGAGACATTAATATGAGACCGCGGCCACAGCACAAAGATGACTCGGAGGGGCAAAGGCCTGGGTCACTGAAGGAATGAGTGTAGAGAAAGCCACGAGGTTCCGAGGGTGAGCCTGGGCAGGCGCAGAGAACACGGAAGCAGAGACTGAGGAGGAGCGGCCGGTGAGGAGGGAGGAAAAGCAGGAGAGGGTGGAGTTCCAGGAGCCAAATACAGAAAACGCTTCGGGAGGAAGGAGGGCCAGCTGTGCTGCTGTGGCCAAGCAGGGCGCCGGCCGTGGCTCAGCCACGGCTTCAG